TGTGTTCATCCAGCTCTACACCTTGTTATCTCAGATTCTCCAGCATCTGCAGTTCCTACTATCTCTCAAACAGGTTGAGCATCGATTTGTAAATCCGTCCAGTGGAAGGGGATTGCTGGTCAGCCCTGTGATGATTGGAAAATCAGGGCTTCTACCATCGCTGTCCATTGCTCTAGAACACAACGTGCATTCACTCAGGCTCCTCAGTGGGCTACCGGGCTGGTCGGAAAACGAGGACGACCATGATATTAACAGCATGGAGCCAATCTCCATTCCAGCTGGAGTGGACTCTGGGATCTCCCGAGATCGTGGAGCTGGTCAATCAAGGCCTACCTTCAGGCAGACATAGAAAGAAGTTCCTCAATGACGGGGACAGCCCTCATTACCTCCCGCGTTTGCGGACAGTGTGGACACTTAGAATTTCAAGGCACTGCACCAACACAACGTATCGCCTCGTGACCAAAAGGAGAAATACATCCAGAAGGGGGAGAAAAAAAGTGTGAAATGTGCAAATGATGTATACTGGTCTGCTTTGCATATGCCAGAACAGTACTCCAATATCCCGGTACATTCCTTTCCAAATATGACTTTATTTTTAAAACTGGTTTTTCCCTCCGGTTTAAAGTGCATATGGGCTGACCTTTAGGCACAAGTACATTTGGATCGAACATCATTATCCTGATAAAGTGTGATCCAAGACTTTATTATTTTTCACCCCTTCACAGGGCAAACAAAAACCATCTCATATTCTTCCAGGGGGAACATAGGAAATAGCAGCAGGAGTAGGCCATCTGGCCCATCTAACCTGTTCCGCCATCCAAGAAGATCATGGCTGCTCTTTTTGTAAACACAGCTCCACTTACTCGCCCGCTCACTATAACCGTTAATTTTTTACTGTTCAAAAACTTTAAAAACATTCAACGAGGTAACCTCAACTACTTCATCAAGCAGGGAATTCCACAGATTCACAACCTTTTAGGTAAAGAAGTTCCTCCTCAACTCAGTCCTAAACCTGCTCCCCCTTATTCTATGCCCCCTAGTTCTAGTTTCGGTCACCAGTAGAAACAACCTCCCTGCTTCTATCCTATCTGATCCCTTCACAATTTTGTGTTTCTATAAGATTTCCCCCTCATTTTTCTAAATTCTAATGAGTATAGTCCCAGTCTACACAATGGCTGCAAACTTCAATCCCTTCTGGTACTTCAGCAGTTAACGCACTTGCACAAAATTGGTAAAAAATGGTTTCTGAACCATTTTAAGTCGGCCTTAAACAGATTTAAAATAAACACATCGGTTGCACAGTGCACACAGTTAGTTATCGCTCAAAGGAATGTGTTAAACAGTTCCACAGCAGAGGAAACCAAACCCTCGCGCAGAGAGCTATCCCACAATGCAGAA